CAGTTTGATGGACGGGGAGCGCAGCAGGTTCTTGATGCGGCTGCGGATCGTGCCGCTTCCCTCCGCCGCGCTCATCGCGCTGCTAGCTGCCCGGCTAACTGTCCCTGTCAGCGGCTACTGGATCCTGTCTGTATCGCTCTTTCCTCCACTGCTGTCATGCTGCCGGAAGAGGAGGGTTCAGCCTGTCCTGGTTCTGGTTCTGGGCTGATCCGGGTCACGGGCTGCGGCTCCGCTCCTGCTCCGCATCCTATTCCTCCGCCGCGGCGAAGACACGAAGCGAAGCGGCTTCAAGCAACAGACCGGACTGAGCAGAGCGTCAAGACCGCGTGCGGCAGCGACACAAACCCTTCCGCCCGGCCTTTTCAAAATAAAACCGCTAGATCTCGGACTGCTAGCTTGGTGAGAATAACTTCAGTCTTTCTTTATATAGGCTACTGTACATATAAGCATATTTTTCGACTTTGACATAAAATCATAACAAGGAAACAAACTAAATACAAATAAAATGCACATAGGCTTCAGAATACAAAAATAAACAAGTTTCTGCTACTTTACCTAACCGTTAATATTTCTTAAATCATCAGGAATAACCTCTGCAGCCTCATATACACGATCAATATGTTCGTTATTCTCTAAATGTAAGTGTAATTTAAACAACATCTTATCCTTTGGGTTTAACCGTTTCCACGCCAATACCATACTTTTACTTTGACAGTGAAGCATCACTTCCGGTGTCTTCGCTGCAGAGAACACCGTGTGCAGCAGCGCCATCAAGCGGCAGAACTACAAACTACAGCTTGAAACTACAAGTGTTCATAATCATAATCATTTTTATCTTTAAATTATATTTCTTGAATTTCGTCTTGTAGATTTTGAGCATACATACAGATTAATCAAAAACAATACAATGGAAAAAATTGCAAAACATGAAAATGTGTCAAACCAATGCATTTAAAGGTCTCCTATTATGCAAAATGCACTTTTTGATGTCTTTGATACATACATATGTGTCCCCGGTGTGTCGGGGAACTCACGCAGCATCAGAAAATAAAACCCTCTCTCTTTTCAATTTTTTATTTTTTCAGCTCCCCACTCGAGTACACCCTGGGTCGTCCGATGACAGATTGATTTACTGACGACTACTTTGCGGTATAGTACCTAATAGTTCCTACATAGAGACTTGTCCATACCTCGAGTTTCCGAAAGAGAGACGGCCAATATGGTGTTCCACTCAGAAAATAAGGCGAAGAGAGTGTGACGAGAGGTCATGTCCAATCGAGACTCCAATCCGGGTACGATACATTTGTGGCGGATAAGCAGGTTTTGTCAGCCCTACAAGACTATCCGCACCCAGGTGTAAAGTCTATAATGCAGTATAGCCTGCGTTTAGACCAGTCGAGGNGCAGAGTTTTCCAGGTCGGATGCGTAAGACTAAAAACGAGGCTTTCAAAGGAGGTATAATTTAATTTTTGTTTAGTATTGATAAGTAAACTTGAGTCAAAGATTGCTGCAACTCCACCTCCTCGGCCCGTGCCTTGGGCAATATGAGTATTGATATGGCTGGGTGGAGTGGCCTCATTACATATTCTTCGTGCTACAAATGAGGGCTCAGTATTTGTTGCATTGAGTTGTTGTGCTCTAATGTTGTCTAAATTTACTAGTATGTTAATGTTGTTTGTATACTATGCTTCACATAACTAACACCCTATGTCGTCTACAAAGGACATACAATAAAACAAAAATTAAAATATATTTTTGTAGTTTTTGTTAGTCATTATGTTTATACCACCCTAAAGACTTGTGTGATCAAAAAAGGAAATTTGAAACCTTTTTCTTTCTGGGTCTCAGGAGGATATAGAAGGTTAAAGGACTATTACGCAACAGCAACAAACCTGAAAGCATACATTTTATAATAGTGAATGTGTTTAATTCAAAGATTACTATCCGAAAAAGTAGAGTGTTTTTGTTGATGATGAGCCACTCGGTAGCTCCATTACCTTCACTTACTTTAACACAGTAAGTTCTCTGGCTGCACGCACGGTGACAGCAGCACGTCAGGAGCAGCTCACATGGATATCTAGTCTGTAATATATAAAAACATCATGTCCAGGGTCTTACCCCTTATTTAATATCATTATAAAAATGAGTGGTTCGAGTCAGCAACTTGTAAACCCAATCCGGAAATGAGATGTTGTGCATCCTTCCTTAACAAATGTAAACACAGTTCTTATAGTTTGTATATCTGTTGCACTTGACCTCTTGATACAGAACATGTATTTACATGAGAATGAGAGTTGAAATGGTATGGTCAGCTGACAGCTCAGGGCAGAGGGTTGGCTCTGTGTCTGTCATTCTCTGCTGTGATGAGATAATGAGTGTTGGTACTAGAGATTTACGCAAACAGTAGCTGTGAAGCAATTAACTGGAGGTTAATTGGAAATATGACATGTGTTTGTTGAAGCCTGGTTTGCAGAAATAGCGATAAAGAATGATTGCCAGGTCATATTCTGAGTTAGAAACAAAAGGAAATGATTTCCCAGAACTTTCTGCTCTTCTACCTTTGATGGTAGTCCACATTCCTGTCCCATCACTGTCTGCTGTCTTGTTAGAAACCCTTAGTTGAAGTGTTCTGAGTGTGCTCATGTGTTGGCTGTTACCTCTGCGGGGGCCTCAGTCACCTGGAAGAGTTTATGTTGGACTGGCAGCTCTGCCTCACAGTATCTGAGCTGAAGCAGACGCTGGTGGAGCGTTATCTGGCCTCCATCCTGCACCAATACCAGCAGCAAGGGGCCCTCATTACAAGCTGCTACTTTTCTCTTCCTTCCAATCAAATCAAACTGTAATCATGGCACAGCATGAGACACTCTTATTAATAAGTGAGTGATACCATTCACTCGCCTTCTGTACTGTTGTTTTATTACCCCTGATGTGCATATTTCACAGATGTACAAGTGAGCGTGTGAATGAATAGTGGCCCTAAAAGCCTCCATTAAGCAGCGCGGCTGGCAGCCTTCAGATTCAGAGAACAGCTTTACACACATTCCCTGCACCTCCTGCATCACATCCACAACAGCCTGGTGTTTATGGCCTCTTAATTGATAGGCTGTAAACTTGATGAGCGTTTATGGGCTCCAGGTTGCTGCGAGGGGAATGAAGCCTGAACACAATATGAACATGTCTGTAGCTTGCTTGGGAACTATATGTGATAAGATGCTCATTTCTGAAGATGTAGTACTCATTCCTGCACTACTCTATCAACGGGACGGCAGACAGTGAGATGTGTGTGAGCTTGTGTTGTTTTCAGGAACAGTGTTTGTTAGCCCAGTAGCTTAGTGTATGCCGCCATAGATAACACAGCTGATAAGACCACTTCACCTGCATGTGAACTCCTACTGTGTGCTCAGCTCTGATGATGACCTGTGCTCCTGCTACCTCCACCGGACAGTGATTTAAGCATGCTTTGAATAAGCACAGGGGTTTAGTCAGTGCTGTTCAGTTCGTTTCTGAATTAGCCCAAACTTATATACACACACACATTCCAAACCTTCTGGTTAAAGTAAACACATCATCAGTTCGCAATACAAAAACGTTTATTCAATATAAAACATTTTATATAAACATTTAATTGATGTGTCTACATATTGTCACATTTAGTGAGTCATTTAGCACACTGGTTCTCCTGGGAATTCTTAAAAATCTGAAGAATCATGAGGTGATCAACAAGAGAAGACAGGTGAACATTGATTTGTCAGAAGATAATTTTGTTTGACTTGTGTCTTGTGTCTTAGCATCTCTTCCCCAGACCTGTAAAAGTTTTGGGTCGAGGGGTAACCGGAACACCTTTTCCTCTTGCGACCATTTCTTTGTATTGAATCAATAGCAACAATCCACACAGGCGTTGTTGTGTGTGTTCCCCGCCAGCTGTCTGAAATCAATGAATGTGTTAACCAGCGATCACTCTTGTGTCTGAACTTGTTAGTTGACCGGCAGAAAGGTTCATGAGCAAATATGAATGAATCAATTGGTATTTCAAGCAGATATGCCAAACATTACTGATCAAGGATGCTGCCCTGAGGATCGGCTGTTCCTCTTATGTTGTGTAGTGTGCTCTAGGTTTGTATGCATGCAGAGTCTGCAAAGGCTCCAATCCCTGTGTTCCTCCAGAGGGACTTTCTCCCCCACAGGAGACAAAGCTCCAGAACCACTTCAGGAGTCTTTGTCATAGACTCTTCCAATATGTGGTATCTTTTCTCTCAGAAGATATTGAGGTTTTGATGATGATGATGATGATGATGATGATGGTGATGGTGATCACTCCAAATCTCCCACAAATGTTTCTAGTTTGGTTCAAATCTGGTGACAGTGACGGCCAAATCCACATGATTCATATCAGAAAATGTCTGCCTGCCAGAATCATAGTTAGAGTTGCAGTATTTAATGAAAGTGGTATTTTAGGACTCTCTCCAAGTGAAACTGAAGCAAACCCTGTGAAGTGTGTCTGCATGTTTGTATGAATTAGTGTTTGTGTAGAGAACGATCGAGACAGAGAGGAGATGTGAGCGGAAGATGGATCAATGTTTGTCTCAAGTAAACCCTTTCCAGGTTTTTCTGTTCTCCAACTTGAATCATCATCCATTGTGATATCTGTAGAACACTTTAGCAAGAAATCCATTCCCATTTCCCACTAGTGAGACATCCATGCTTCTCCTATGGGCCTGATTGAGCCAGACATAGCCTTTAATCTCCCCGTGTATTTGATTGGACAGCTTTCCCTCTGTAGAGTGTTTGCTGAAGGCCGTGCTGCAATCCTTCTGGTAAAACAAGCATCCCAACAGCCGTTCCAACCCTCTTAGCACCCCCCCCGCCCAGCAGTCACTTTCACACACACACAAACACATCTCCCCACATGGCACAAACACATCTCCCCACAGGCTCTCAATGCTCAGCAGATGTTAATGGGTTTTTTTGCACTTCGAGAAAAACCAAACACGCAGGTACACATGTGCTGTTTGTGTAATTAATAAGCAGCCTTTCAAGGAGACTGGGATCTCTCCTTGTGTAATCAAAGACTGCTTATAAATCTGAAATGCAAAACACAAAGGATTTAACTGTGAGTGTATGCTTGTGTGTTTAGGGAGACGGAGTATAAAGGGCTCCAGCTGTCTCTGGACCAGGCCAGGTCCAAGGCCTCCTTCCCCTACAGCAGCAGCAGCTCCGCCTGCCTGACGGAGCCCTGCAGAACCCCCAAGAGCAGAGTGACCCGGCCCAAGACCAAAGCCAGGCTCTCCCCTTACACACAGGTGAGGATTACATGGCATATACCCAGAGGTGTAAAGTAACTAAGTAGATTTACTTAAGACTACTTAAGAACCATTTTGAGGTACTTTACTACTTTATTTGAGTATTTCAATTTTGTACTTGTTTGTAGCTCTACCCCACTACAGTTCAGAGGTAAATGGTGTGCTTTTACGCCTACATGTATGTAATACCTTTAGTTACTTTACAGATGTGGATGAACGATGTGAAATATAATCAAGTGTTAAATCAGACTTTAGTTCCACCTGGAGCAAATCCACAAGCTACCCTGCAGTATACAAAGTCATTCAAACTAGCTGCACCTTTGCTTTTAATACACTTAGATGCTAATACTTTTCTAACATTTTGGATGCAGGACTTTCATTTGTTACAGAGTAATATTACACTCTGGTACTTGTACTTTGACTTAGGTACAAGATGTGAGTACTTGTCCCACCTCTGCTTAATGCCTCAAACACATCATTTCATGCTGTGATGTGAACTGTGGTCTCAAACTTCATATGTATGGCTTGTGTCCACATAGGGTTTCCTTCTGGCAGAAAGGCTCTTTGTTCATTGTTTCTATGACGACAATATCTCATCACTGCTGTTTGACAAACTAGTTGTAAGGTTTCTGAGCTTGGGGCGTAGCATGTGACAGCATTGACTCCTGCTGATTGTAAACTCTGATGAATGTTAATAATAAGTTCACTTTTTCATGCTCATTACATTTTCTATTTTGTTGTTTAGCCATGTCTTTCACAGTGGTTACCTACATTAAAATATAGGTGAAACAGGGCTTGTCATGTGACTCACAATTAAAAAAAGACTGTGGCCACTATGCCAGGTGTTCCACACAGCCGAGCATTTTCTGGAGACCAATGCCCATCAGGTAATCAGTAGAGGTAGAACATTTTCTAACATGGAAATGAGTACCATACTAAACATAATCCCTAAACAATGACAAAAAAAGGTGGTGTCAAACAGTCTGCTAAGCATCTCAAACATGGAAGACCTGCCACCTGATTTGAAGGCTTGGTATAATATTTCCTTGTCTCCCTACATTCTCCCTGCAGTATCCTAGTTTCCAGATGGAGCGCTCAGAGTCTGACCAGGAGAGCCCGTGGGGCAGCAGCCCCGTCACAGACTCAGCCTCCCCCCAGCTGCTGGAGCACAGTGAGGGTCTGGATGCCTCCTGTGTGTACAGACAGTTCTCTGACCCCCGATCGCTCTGCTACAGCCTGTCTGAAGAGCACCATCACAACAGCAGCGACAGCTTCACACACCTCCACTCACAGGGTCAAGGTCAGAGCTGTGAGCGAGGTCGATGTGAGGCAGGACGATACTTTCTAGGAGCACCCCCACCTGGCCGGGACGCGTGGTGGGGCAACACCCGGTCTGTCCTGCCGCTGAGCAAGAGCTCCCTGGAGAACACCGAAGGATATGACAGCAGCGTGCCGCACATCACGGCCATCCACAGCCACCACGGTGAGGAGCAGAGACTGGACCCTGGCAGCCTTCATAGTTTAGACTGAACATACAACTAGTAGTCTGGGAGGATATTCTTATTTCAGAGCCTCTGATAGATCAGTGGTGCTTCATGTGAGACCTCAAATCCATCCCCTTCACATACTGCCTTTCTAGTTCTCTGAGCACTCTCAGCACTGTCAAACAACATGTCAACATTAACCCTCTTAGAAACACACTAAGGTTAGTTAGTTAGTTAGTTAGTTAGTTAGTTAGTTAGTTAGTTAGTTAGTAAGCTAACATTAGCAAGCTAGCTACCAATCTATCTAGCACACTGACAAGAAATCTCTCCCTAAGTTAAGCTAAGTACTTTTATTTATTTATTTATTTAGCAGTGTGCTAATATGCTGGCATTTATTAGTTGATCAAATTGCTACATACATCAAGAGGCACTAGAAAGTAATAATGACATGTAGAACCACCTGATTGCATTGTAGCTGTTCATGTTCTCAAATATAACAAATGTTACAACAGCTGTATGGAAAATAATCTGTACCTGGGTTTTGGTCTCTACTCCAGTGTTGCAATTAAAACGTATTAGTGTTCATACAGGGAAATAGCTTTGTAGATGATGCATTGTTTGCAAATAATATGACATTAGTAGAACTCATTTCTAACAACAGTGAAAGAGATTACTAGAAGGAGTTTCTCATTCCTGGTGTGCTTCAACAACTTGGAGTTGAATATTTCAAACACAAAATAAGTATGATTGACTCAAGTGAGAGTGACAGCGACCATGTACCTCTATTCAGAAATGGTCAGGGAATTCAACAGGTTGAGCTCTGCAAATGTATGGTTGTAACAAATCTTCTTCAGAGTGGCTAGGCGACACTTGCTGATATGTTTTCCATCCTCATCTTTCGTAAAGAAATTGGTGGACAAAATGGAACACACCAAATGGAAGACACAGAGTCAGAAATGAAAGGGCAGGAATGATCCCGCCCTGCTGAGATGTGCACCATAAGACCCTTTACATGCCGTGCCTGTGTGTTAGCGGTTACTGTATGTGATGTGGTGTCTCAACAAACACAATTGCTGGACTTTGTTGAACTGACTGTTCTCATTGTGTGCTCTGCAGGCCGGGGGGGCCACTGGGACGAGGAGAGCGTGGTGAGCTCTCCGGATGGGGGCTCCGCCAGTGACTCGGGGGACCGGTACCACGCTGACCACTACCGCTGCAGCCCCCAGGAGCCCAGCAAGATCGAGACCCTGATCCGAGCCACGCAGCAGATGATCAAGGAAGAAGAAAGTCGACTGCGCAAGGGCCCTCAGGAGGTCCCACTGGGGCCGGCCAATGGGCTGCCCAAGGGTCCCGGCCCATGCTTCACTCCAGAGTATAGTCAAGGGCCCCTCCCACTACAGACGGTGGTGTGCCGAGGTCTGAGTCAGGTGATCAGCCCTGCCCCTAGTCCCGCCCCTCTGTCCAGGCTCAGCAGTCCAGGTCCTGAGCGCCTCCACAAGCCCAAAGACTACCTCCAGACAGACGTGTCCCCCCTCTCTCTGCCATTACACCACCCGTTCGGGCGGTTGGGGCCGTGCTCTTCCTCCCCCCCCTCGGCCCCCGTCCTCTACCCCTCCCACACCCACCCTCGGCCCTACTTGGACAAGCATAAGAGCTACTCCCTGACAGGCTACGCTCTGGAGCATCTCTACGACCCAGAGAGCCTGCGAGGCTACTGCACCTCCACCAGCACGGGCCCCCCCCACTACGATGTGACCCCTCACCTCCGTATGGCAGCAGAGCAGACCCCCGGACATAAAGGCACCTCTGTCATTATTAGCAATGGCAGCTAACACTGACAGAGGGACTCAGAGCCTGAGCTGGTTAGCTTTCCTTAGTCTGGATCCTGTTAGCCTGATTTCCCATCATACTGATCCCCCTCAGCAATCCGATGCTTTATATAGAGCTACATTGTTGCTATACTTCCCCCCCAAGCATTGATAACAAGTCCACTTCTAAATGTCTCATTCAAAGATAGTAATGTCATTATTTACAAGATTGAACCGCACATTCACATAATTACAGCAGCGCCGGTTTGAATGGTAAGGGATGCAATTATGAAGCCGCTTTAGGTCTTAACAAGTCTTCCAAATAAAAGGACGATGTATTTCATATATATAGTTCCAGAGCACTTGTTGTTTCTGAGTGGACAGTCTCAAAAATGTAGGTAAACTGTAGATGTAAACAATCTGAATATATTGGAGCAGCATTTCTCCATGCTGAGCCAGCTGTCAGGCAAACAGAAAGGGAAGCAGTATACAGTATAGCAAAAAAGGAATGAAGCTAATAGCCCTTGTGTTTGAAAGGAGGGGGGGGAGTAAGACATCGCATTGGTCAGCTTATTGCAAAAAAAAACAACACTTTGGTCAAAACCGATCAGTATGATGGAAGAAAATGGAAAACAGGGCTGGGTATAAATTGTCTGGAGTTGTGCTTTAACATCCGCCCCAGTGCGTGTAACCGTTTGCACTATAAGAGATGGGTCTTTGTGAGGAGGGGGGTTTGGTGTTCATGCAGCGATGCAGAGCACAGGTTGGCCCTGAAATAAAGAATCATTTGAACTTCACCGAAAAATATGCAAAGCCATTCTATGGATGTTTCTTTTCTCTCCGTTTTGGTATCTCTCCGTGTCGGTAAATACAGTTCAGAAAACACCGGTAATGACTCTCATGACTGTATGCTGGAAGCCATGGATACTGAACGTGTTGTTGGAAAGGTTTTAAAGGGCAAGTCTGATGCTTTGATATTTGATATCTGATTGGCAAGACAATAATTACATGATTACGTCCTATATCATTCGTTTTTGTAACCGGAAAGTATCATCCAAGGACATGGGACATATTATGTTATTTGAGTGATTGTAAGAAGACCATATGCAAGTAACCCGTTGGAATGGCAGCTCAGGCAGCTCGCTGATCCCTGAAGCAACTGTTAATAATGGTTACGTGGGAATCTTCATATAACAGGATTTAAGTTTCATCTTGGGATCTTTTTTCTTTATTTCTTCACTCCTTAGATAAACCTATATTTATACAAGTTTGGATTTTGTTTTGAATGTTCACAGCCTGAAATGTGCTCCATCCAGTTATTTATGGTGTAAATATGCTCAGAAAGGAGAATCCCACCACATTTAAGCACATGGGCAGAAACTGTATTTATTGAATAAATGATTCTTTATGATTTTGAAATATAGCTGCAATCAAATCCAGTCTGCTTCTATATTGAGTGTGTTTTTGACTGAAGCAAATTTTAAAAGAGGACAAAATAAAAAAGGTTTTGCAGAGATGGCTTGTGTTTTTATGTCCAATGTTTTTTCAATGAATCATTCAAACATGACTGTTCAGACACACACGATCACATGTCATCAGACAGTATGTCAAACAAATGTCATGAATCATTGACAAATGAACATACACACATTTGTGGTTTTTGGATATTAAACACATCAGACACTCAAGAATAAACTCACAATTCCCAAATAATATTTCATGTGTTTCACATCCATACCACACGTGCTTTGATGACACAGACTTTAATGTACCACACATCTAACATATTTTATGCATGAGTATATTTTACATTTCATATTAAATAAAACATTTGACATCCAATGAATGCACACAATGCAATGATTTCTTAAACAGACGTTGTTCCTTTTGTAACTAAAAATCATTTCACGTTCATCAGCAGGAAATTCCCACTTGCCTTTTTGTAAAAGAGCTGTATATATTTCCATTAGAGCACTCTGGTTATGATTCAATTTGATGAATTTCAGATATCTCTTTTTAGCTATCAGCACACTCAGATTTGCACAGGTGACGTGTGGCTGCACTGGCAAATAAAGAGCGCTGATTGAAAGCAATACGGCGAAATCTCCAATTAAGCCTGTGGACCTGCGGGGGTGTGGAGGTCACCGCTCCGCTCAGCAGCCTGATGGAAGTTCACTGTTTGCTTTATCCTCTCAGGCCTCAGTCATTTTACCTCCACACTGAAAGCCTCTCATCCTGCAGTTATTCCTCACTTTAGCTCCTTCAGCAGCTCCGGTCCTCTCCAACAGCTTTTTCACTCACTGTCAACGAGGCTGGTGTAACTCTGCCCATTAGGAACAAACACTGTTGCTTAGAAACCAGCCAGGAAGCAAGAAGCAATGTCAACAGCAAGGATGAGAGCTCAGGTGTTAGGGAAGCATAATGTTGCCTAGATATCAGCCTTTATTTGTGAAAAAATAAATGGCTCTATCATTCCCATCTAAAATGTATAAATGTACAGTGAGATTGGTTTGGACACACCTTCTCATTCGAAAGGTTTTTAGTTATTTTAATTATTTTGTACATTATTGATTAATAATACACATCAAATCTATAAAAGAAAACATATGGAATTAAATAGTAAACAAAAAAGTGTTAAAAAATCCAGAATATGATTTATATTTTAGTCTAGATTTAGCCCCCTTTTGCCTTCCCTTCACTCTGCGGTCCGACTGATCCCAGACCATCTCAATTGGGTTGAGGTCAGTGATTTTGGAGGCCAGGTCATCTGACGCAGCTCTCCATCACTTTCCTTCTTAGTCAAATAGCCCTCACATAGCCTGGAGCTGTGTTTGGGCTCATTGTCCTGTTGAAAAACGAATGATGGTCCCAATAAGCTCAACCAGATGAGATGGCATGGCGCTGCAGAATCCTTTGGTATCCATGCTGGTGAAGTGTGCCTTGAATTCTGAATAAATCACCAACAGTGACACCATGTTCCTCCTCCATGCCGCACGGTGGGAACCACACATGCAGAAACCATCCGCTCACCTTCTCTGCGTCTCACAAAGACACGGAGGTTGGAACCGAAAATCTTAATTTGGACTCACCAGACCAAAGTACAGATTTCCATTTCTTTTTTTTCTTTTTTTATAAACTTTGTTTATTGATTTTCGTACACAAATTAAACAGAGATGACAGAGCGGTTGTGATTGACAGTGTCACATTACAGTTGTGCAGATCACATAACATATGAAACATTACAAGACAAAAAAAAAAACAGTCGGCTTGGTCATACAACAAAACACAAACAAACACATAATCTCATTCTCTTCAGGTAATAGTACAAATACATTTAAAATGTTTCACATATAAATATTATGTATATACATACACACATACATATTTGGGTCTTATTCCGGAATATCCGGGAAGGTGATCCTCCCTGCATAGGCAAAGAAAGGTCCCCAGACACTCCGGAACTTCCCGGAGGAGCCTCTCAATGTGTAACGGATTTTTTCAAGCTGCAAATTATTAAAAATGTCCCTTATCCACATAGTGTGGGAAGGTGGTGTTGGTGATTTCCATCTTGTTAGAATAAGACGTCTTGCTAGTAATGTTGCAAAGGCTATAAGGTCTGCTTTGAGCCTAGGCAAAGGCAGGTTTGGGATGCCAAATACTGCAGTAATGGCATTAGGCTCTATAAGCGTCCCAGTTACTCTGACAAAGTACTGAAAATTGAAGTCCAGTAGTTGTGCAGAGACGTACATGACCAAAACATATGCAAATGGTTTGCAGGTGTTTAGTGAAATTTTTCACAAGAAGGATCTATATTGTCAAACACTTTGAACAGCCTGACTTTAGTCCAATGGGTGCGGTGAACAACTTTACACTGAATCAAACCATGTCTTGCGCAGACGGATGAAGTATGCAGAGGCGGT